GGCCGATTTTGCTAGGAAATCCACCCCCATTCCTTTTAGGATATACAACAAGTTTGGCGAAGAACAAAACGAATTATTTACAAAAATATAAAGTTATTTGGTTGTCTAATATACCTTCTTTAATTAACTGAAAAACTCTAATAATATATATTTCAAATGATTTTTGCATTCTAATAATGAACTGAAAACTAAAAATCTATTTATCCAACGAATGTCTGGCGGTTTTTCAGTTCTGAAAACCGTATTTGACAGTTAAAGTGTGAATGCAATTATCCATTGAGTCCATACGCGTATCCACAGCCTCCCTTAATCCTTCGCTTACGTATAACGTGATCCATGAATGAATTGGCACGAGCTATTATAACAACCAAAAGTGTGGTATTTCTATAAGAAGATAAAGTGAGTTTTCTTCGCCTAGCTATCATCAGTCTCCAGATTAACTACTTCGTTGAATATCTAAGCATATGGCGGACCAGCAATTGATTGACATCTCCGTAGTTCGAAACACAAAAAAGAAACTTAACTACATTACTATACTGATCAGATACAAATATGACTCATCGACAGGTTTATTTGCTTGTTGTAGCTCAAATAAATGAAGAATGCCTTATGCAGGCTTATGCGCTGGTCTCATCCAGCCTAACCATTTAGATTGACACAAGTATCGGTAGATATGGATGTGGATGAAGATATTGATGTTTTATTAATCCTCATCCACACGTCTACACTCACCCACACTCGTCCGGAACTCGCAGATGGTCTCGAGTTTATCCATTCTCTATACAAGAAGTCTGGATTCAGTCAAATGCGTTCTTTCCAAAATAATAATAAATATTGCGGAGTACAAATAAATGCACTGCTCGAACGATCGAAAGTAGAGTTATCAAGCTTCCTGTCTGTGAAGGTTACGCTTCTAAACAATGGGTATCCATATTTCAAATTGTTTTTGAAAGTTTTCAAACATACACACGTCAGGGTGTTCAGCTATACTTGTTCATATATATTGAGGCAAATTCCTGCGGATTCAGAAGAACGGAAACTGACAGAGAAATTCAGGTTCCTAGGAAAGGAACTTGAAACTGAAATTCCTGTCCATTGTTCGCATTTCAGTCGACTACTTCTTCATAATTAAAAGCTCCAGCTCAGAGATGGCAATATTCGTTCTACACCTCTAACTATTGGTCAGAGATCACAACGCTCGATTCCTTCCTCCGGCACATTGGCTCTTGTATTCAAGATGCATGACAACAGAAGTTCAGACAAAAACATGCATATGGATTACTTGATCATTGGGTTCTGCATAGATTACTACACTATAGAGATCAACTACGCAAATCAAGAACACTGCTGTAATATTAAGATTTCGTCAAAGAAATGTCAGCAATCATCTAGTCCATCAAAATTTGTTTTCTGTTTTCTGTTCTTTATATGTTGTCTTCAACTCGTCCTTCATCCTCTATGCCTATGTCATATGTGTATTCCGATCTTATATCTTTGATAAGGGAGTATCCCTGATTCGTGGCCATCGACTCATTCTTTCTTAATTATTTCCAATTCGTTCCCTGCCTGACATTGTATTTTAAAAGCCATTGCACATAAGTCACAACCACTGTTGCTCAATTGATGTCATCGATTTGGCTAATATTTTTACAGTAGGTAGAGCTAACATAGTTACGAGTAATTTAAGATGCTCAGCTCTAAAGGATAAGCCATTCTGGAGATATAGATCATACAAGTATAAGGAGGCAGCCTATATTTGGAGTACCTTCAAGTGCAATACTTGTCAGCAAAGAATGAGAGCGTGTAAGGCTATTTTACAGCCCTTCTCAGAATCCCATTTCCTTGTATCAGATTCGAATAAGAAGTGGATCCTGATCATATTTTTTAGATTTATTTCCTGAAAATCGACCTTGACGATTTTTGTGCCTGAGGTTCGCAACAGGTATTGTGGAAAAAACGATATTTTTCAAAGATTTAAAACTAATGCAGGCTTAGATTTAGGAGTGTTAATTACGAATATCATAACGAGAGCTTACAAAACTCTTTTGTTTTTTGAAATAGTATAGACCACTTTATGAGACTTATTATTTCTTGTTGGCTTGCCCATAGAATTAGCGCTTGAGAAAATGTATCAAAACAAAAACCTTATCTAACTGAGAATTTTGAGCTCTTCCCGAATTTAAACTTTTTCTGGAGCAAAAATGTGACCTATAGAAAAAGTGGCGATTCTGGGACTGAAATTGACCCCCTTTCGAATATAAATGTTTTCACATATAGAATTTCTCGTGAAGAAAGGTTTGCCGCATTGCAAAATGTTGTCCACTAGAGTAATTTCTCAAGCTCTATCTAATATTGCTCTCAAAAAACGAAAAAGTTGTGCAATAAAGTCAAAAACTCCAAAAATGGTTCATTTTTTGGCCACTTTTTAGGGTTTTGCCTATAGGTGGATGGGTTTCAGTAAGAAGTATGGCTTGTGGCAACGTCAAACGCTCCCCGTAAGAGCGAATTTTTGAGCTCTATCTAATGATATTCTAAAAAATAAAGAAAAAGTTGTGCAATCGGATCAAAAATCCGAAAAATCGCTATAACAGCAAAATATCATGAATATGCGTCCATATTCTTAGGTTTTCACCAGTAAAACTTCGATTTCAAATGAAATCATTGTCATATTTACAATCAGTACAAAATCTACATAAAATAGGATATCTAATAGTTAAAAAAAATACATTTCACCGATTTCAACCTGAGAGGGACCACAAGCTTCTTTATGGAAAAAACAATGAGGCGGGAGAGGCACCGAAATTCGACGAATTTTTAAAAAAATATTAGATATTCTATTGGATGTAGAATTTTGCACTGATTGCGAATATGACATTTATTTCATTTGAAATTGAAGTTTTTATGATGAAAACCTCAGAATATGAACGCATATTCATGATCTATTTGCTGTTATAGCGATTTTTTGAGTTTTTTTGATCCTGTGAAGCAATTTTTTTCTTTTTTTTTAGAGCATCATTATATAGAGCTTGAAGAGTTGCCTTTATGGGAAGAGTTTGACGTTGCGACAGGTCTTGCTTTTTACTGATATCACTGGTAGCAAATTTCAAATTTGTGCAAATTTTGAAATCTGCGTGTCAAAATTATTTAAAATTTCTATTCTTCAGAAATTTTGAAAATTGACCGACGATCTCGTATATATTCAGCAGACATCAGAAATCGGAACTTTACTCACACTGTGTGTTTCTAAGATATTACCAGGAAAGCAGAAATCATGAAGACACAATCCTTTGGGCAGGGGCAATAGCATGAGGATGAGAGCGCAACCCTTTAGTTATGGCAACATAGCGAAGTTGAAGTCATAACATTTTAGGAAAGCAGCAGACTGAAGAGAAGGTGGCAACCTTTGAAGAAAGAAGAAAGCGCTTACTACTCTTTTCGCAGTATGTGTATATCTGTATGCGGTTATACTTCTAAACCCTTTAACCAAGGGGGAAACGGCGGACTTGAAGTAGAAAAGTACGCCAAAGTACGTCAAAGTAGACTACTTAAAGTAGCTCAAAGTACCAACCAAGTAGCCCAAAGTAGAAAGAAGTAGCTTAAAGTAACTTCAAGTAACTTCAAGTAACTTGAAATAAATTTGAAGTTGAAAAGTACTTCAAAGTAAGCCACTTGAAGTAGCTCAAAGTAACTTGAAGTAACTTAGAGTAGCTAAAAGTAGCTTCAAGTCCAAAAGTCCGTCGTTTCCCCCTTGCCTTTAATTCTATAGTTTAGGAATATTAATCTAAATCGTTCTGCATTTTTTATTTTTCCGTAAACCCGAATTTTCTATCGACTTGCAGTGTGAGCAAATTTCTAATTTTTGACGTCTGATAACATTTTAGAAATGGTGAGTACTAGTAAATTTTTGATTTCTGATTTTCTAGCCATTTTCATAGATTTCTTTCTCAAAAGTTAGAAATCAGAAGTTCAGTCAAAGCTAGTAATAATTTGAATTTTGCCACACCCTCACTGAAAACCATCCATATGTAGGGGAAAACCCTCAAAAATGACCAAAAATGGACCATTTTTGAAGTTTTTGACTTTATTACACAACTTTTTCGTTTTTTGAGCGCACTATTAGATAGAGCTTGAAAAATTACTCTGGTGGACAAAATTTTGCGATGCGGCAAGCCTTTCTTCATGAGAAATTCTATGTATGAAAACATCTATATTCGACAAAGGGTTAATTTTAGCCCCAGAATCGCCACTTTTTTCTATAGGTCACATTTTGGCTCCGTAAAAAGTTTAAATTCGTGAAGAGCTCAAAATTCTGAGTTAGATAAGATATCTTTTTGATAAATTTTCTCGAGCACTAATGCTATGGGCAACCTAACAAGGAATAGTAAGTCTCATAGTGTGACTCATGCTATTTCAAAGACTAGTGCAAGCATTGGGAAATGGAAGAAAATGCTGCTTTTTTATATAGTCAATCTGAGCAGGCATGCACCAGTTCCTGTTGTAAGACTGGTAATAGTCACCACTGTGAGTCAGCCGCGGCTAGCTTAAAATTATGACTAGTACCATATCGACTTGTCCGCCAGTCCTATTTGTACCAATCGAACTGATGTCAAAGTCCAACTGGAACACAGTCCATCTGTACGGGGGCATGCCTAGGCCTTGATACACTAATTTCAAGCTTTATAAGGAAAACCGAGTGGTGCATTCTTACTAGTTGTTGTAGAAGTTGTTGTAAAAGTCTTTGTCGTCGTCCGTGTTGTAGTAGAACTTGCTATAATCAAACGGAATAAAACATGCAGATCTTCTTAAGACAAAGTCCAAACTCTTTACTTCTAGAAGTTGTTGTAGAAGTCTTTGTCGGCGTTCGTGTTGTAGTAAAACTTGCTATAATCAAACGGAATAGAACATGCAGATCTTCTTAAGACAAAGTCCAAACTCTTTACTTCTAGAAGTTGTTGTGGGAGTCTTTGTTGTCGTTCGTATTGTAGTAGAACTTGCTATAATCAAACGGAATAGAACATGCAGATTTTCTCAAGACAAAGTCCAAACTCTTTACTTCTAGAAGTTGTTGTTGTACTAGTCGGACCAGCTGAGGGAGGACATATTTGAATATTAGCCAATGCCATTGGATAACAAACAGGTTGTTCACATCGTGTACTGTTAACACAAATTGTTTGCGCAATTGAACATGTAGCATTATCTGAATTACATCGAACCATTGAAATGCAGGGAAGAGTGGCAAAAGCACAAATGCCTGACATAGTTCCATTAACAGTATTAACCAATGAAAAACATTCACATTCAAGATTCGAAGAACAGGGCAAAGATGACGATTTACAAAGAGTTGAATTGCATGTTGCCAACGTTAAACTGGGTGAGAGTGTTGTTGATTGAGCTATGACACGACAACGATCAGAAAGTAGAAGCATTTCTTCAAAAAATCAACGTAGCACCTTACCTGTAGTTTGAAATGGACCATGGCATAGACTTCGAAAGAACATTAAAGAAATTTTCTAGCTAAATTTTGTTGAAACACACTGATCACTCACCCTGCCGTCAACAGAACATATATCAAAAACATTAGAAGTAATTGAATTTCTTTCGTTTTCTTTGTGTGTATCGATTTTAATTTACTTTCTTATTATTTTCGTTCAATGTTCTGTTATAAAGATTGAAGCCTCTTGTACAATTTGCCTGTAATAAAAATTGTCTTCGAATCCTATTTTCAAGTATGGATAAAAAAAATACAAAATACTGAAGTTCTTTTTCTTTTGTGACCAACAACGTAAACATCAACGATAAAAAAAAAAGCAGAATTTCACTTTACTATCGGGATTTTACCCATGGAAGAGAGCACTTCCTAAAAATAACATGCAATCAATAAATACCATTTTCGAAAGCATGTGAATTTTTTCAGTGAATTATTTTAGTTTCCCCTGAAAGTCTTTCTGACAATCTTGAGCAAATGTTTCAACATGAAACAACCTTATTTGGGTCCATGTAGAGCCGTACTTAGAATAAAAATCTTATAATACAGCTGCTGATAGATGGATTAGTCCTCGAAGTTTTTTCTTACTTTTATATCTGAAAGGAGTCAATAACATATCTTACTAGAGGCCAGATAGAAGAAGAGAAACATTCACATTTTATGGAACTTCTCTTGTGTACTTTCTACGAAGTTTAAAAAGAAGAACGAAAATTGTATAATTAGCAGAATTTGTGTGATATCACAATAGTGACATTTATCTATTCTGCTAACGTTTTGCAGTGTTCCAAAGACTTCAAAATTTTTCACGTTTGAAAACATGACGGTCTATTTCGCAGTTCTTCCAGGGAGAAGTAAACGATATGCATTATATCATATATCAGTGAAGAGTACGGCCACGATATCGTTGTATCCCGCAAAGAAAAATGGGTATAAGTTGAATGCTACTTAACCATTTTTGAAACTTGTTTTCTTTTACTGATTTTAGAGACGGTCATTCACTTCTGAAAAAATCGAGTTTTCATCTGTTTTATTTCGCGAGAAATCATAGCAACAGTGCCAAATATCTAGCTTCTAAGACCACCTAGTGGAGAAAGATCAATTTTTCTTTATGCCATTGCAACTGTTTTTAACTTATTTTTTAGTTAAATTTGTAGAGCTTGCCGAGAGCTTTCGAAATATATCAAAATTTTTTGCTTTAGACAAGGGTTTATGAATGAAATGCTATTGACAATGTGCACTAGGGTACTTCTAATTTTTGTGTAGAGTGATATTGAAACCATTGATATTTCGTTGAATGAAATTTCATTTGAGCAAATTTGATCGGATATCAAATAGGAATAGAAGAAAAACATTTTGACAAGTAAAAGAAGTTTGTTTCATAAACTTAGGTAATACAAAAATTCTATACGAAGTTAAAAAAAACTATATTCAGGCTGAAGGTAGAGCGACTTTTAAAATTTTGTAATTGTTATAACTCAATGGAAACTAAACCACTTGCAAAAAGATTTTGGCCCTTTTTTCATCTCATATAACAAAATAATATTCCAAAAAGTCAAACGAAAATCTTTCTCTATGCAAGCGAAAGTTCAGTTTTATTAACAAAGTGTAGAGCGATACTAAAAATTTCTTAAAACCATAGGCACTTGGTTTGAAGAGGTTTCATTTGAACAAATTTAATTAGATATTAGAGAGAAACAGTTAGAAAGTAATCTCAAAAGTGAAAGAGATTTCTTTCATGAATTTTGATATAAAGTTTTTAATTTATTCCTATAGAACACGCACACTGGTAAATGTTGTTATGAATATGATGGAAAATTGCTATCACCAGCGAACTATTGAACGTTCCTGACTGGAGAAGAAAGGGAAAGCGTTCAGTCCTCAGCGTCATACACTTGCCATGTTTAGCAAGGCGACTTTCGCCCAATTCTGTCGAACTGTGTATGAATAACAAATATTCTCTTCAAAAGTATTTTATTAAAGCAAAACCATTTTCGCTGTGCTACCTCAGCTTTTCGTGGATCTCTATTAGATCATAGTAAATCATCGGGAAAATATTACTTTCATACACATTCAATACCGTTCTATCGAATACAACACTTAGTTTTTTTACCATCAAATTTATCTTTTTTTTTGATTTTTTCCTCGAACGATCCTATAGCGATGCTCTTTACTCATATATAAGGTGGAAGTCGCCGTAAATGGATAGTCCGGCTAATCTATGGAGTAATGAGTTATAGTAGGACGCAATCTTCTAAGACCGCGTAGATTTGGATATATTGTTAATTGGATATCTGAAGACTACTCCTGTAATCAGTAACTGTTTACATGAATTAATGTTTATATCTAAGATAGCGCTCACTTGTATCAGATGTATCAATATCGATTGTACGATAAGGACGATTAATCCTGCTCAATCGATATCACGGATTTCCACGAAACTTTTCCTGTATGTAACTTCAAGTGAGATGTGAAAACACCTAACATCTCAGCTTACAAAACCGTTCCCTTGTTGACATATTCAAACTACAACAGAGGATCTATCTAGCATTATAATTCAGATGCTTGTTCTCAATGACTTTCCGACCAGTTCTTAGTCCAAAGCCACGAGCTCCAGCCTGAAAGTCTTGTTTCTATGATTCGACACTTTTCATATTTTTTTCAGTTGAAATCAACCGTATACCACTCGTCCGTGTATAAATTACATTCCTTTGAATTGTAAAATATCATTTTCCATTAATAAATCTCAGTGTTTTTGTTTAGAAGACATCTTATTAGGGTGTATCGATGAGATATCGCCAATCGATGCGACGATCACGTCCAAACCCAGTGAAACTCTCAAGATTTGCAGAACTCATTATCCTGATCATTTTGTTTATGAATTTTTTAAGAACCCATCCTATTTTCATAAAGATTTAGGACAATATTGGTATTGGTAGTTTACTAAGAAAAATCAGAAATTTTCGAAAAACCAACTATAAATTCTTGATCTTTTCGTCAAACTAAGAAGGTCACTACCAAGATTCCAATACCGTATTGATATTGCTATATCTCTAGATAAAATCCATTATTTTGCAAAAATCAGAAAACCTGTATCTTTATCAAAAAATAGGTAATTGTCCATTATAATCTACTCAAATTAGAATATCAATAACATATTCAGAATCCTTGTGAGAAAAGGCGTCAGAATCTTTACAATTCTGGAAAATTTCCGAACTGACAATGCCACCATCCAATCTTATTCTCATTTTCTAATTGAGTTTTGTAATACACTTTCCTTCTCTCTTATGTCATACTGAGTAGAAGCAAACTCTTAATGAAAGCATGAAAACTTTTCAGATTTCTAAGAATTCCACCGTAGTTTTCATGAAGGTTCTGAATATGTGACTGGTTTTCTAATTTGAGTAGGTTATAATAGAGAACTACATAGTTCTTGAGAAAGATACAGTTTTTTTGCACAATAATGCATTATATACAAAAAAGCATTGTCAGTATTTGACGTATATCTTTTTATAAGAATACACTCTAAAAAGAATCAGTTTAATATGAAACTCTTTTTAATTTCCTTAGCAGATTGAAAACCTATAATAGGTCTTTTCACGAATACCAACTTGGAAGCTTTGCTACGAAACCCTTATAAGATTCGTAAGATGCAAATAAAAGCTTCAATATGAAAGATATAAAACCACTCAAGTTGGATATGGCGTCTTACAGTTTTCGTAGTATGTCTTAAGAGATTTGTACCAAACTTCAAAAAGTTCGTATTAAACTTGAATAGCTTTGTATCTTTCATACCGAAGCTTTTTCCATCTTACGAATCTTATAAAGGTTTCGTAGTAAAGATTCCGAGTTTGTATCCGCAGGAAGAACAATTATATGTTTTGAATTTGCCCCGAAACTTGAAAAGGATTCGGTATTAAACTGATTTTTTTAGAGTAAGGAAGAGGCCTTAAAAAATTTTATCCTGAAAATGATCAGAGTAATGAGTTCTACAAATTCTGAAAGTTTTACTGGATTTAAACATGGTCGCCGCATCGGCTGGCAATATCTCACAGATACACCCATTAAATCCCTGAGAGCTAGAACATGTACAATAAATGGCCACAATGAGGAGGAGTTCAGAGAAGAGTCTCCAATACTCCATCTTTCGCCATGGTCACAAAAGGGTTCATATCTTAATAAACCTTCGTATGAATTATGCCACTAATAGTGAGAAGTTTGTGAACTTTTTATTTCAAGAAAGAAACTTGAAATACTTATGTCTTTTTTAAGTTATACTAATCTTACTAAGGCTTGTATATGGATACAGTATTATATTAAAAAATACACTTCACCTGATACATTCTCTTGTTTCTATCAAATGCGAAAGTGGTCTTTTAAAATGATAAAAACCAACTTTGCACAGTATTTTGGGTGTTCGCTGTCGATTTTCCAGTAAAACCACAACTATTCTCTTGGGAATAGTACTACTTGATCAGTTCTCAGTATTTTTCTTTGAATGAAAATCATTTCCTTTACTTTTCATTCAAGTTTTCGACGCCAAAGGAGATTTCTATGTAGCACGAAATATTACATACCTCACTTGTATATTTGTTCGTGCGCAGTGTTAGCTACCCATTACATTTATACTATTAATGAGTGTGTATATCTTTCACTTAATTTGTTTTCGAACACCGTACTTGCTTTTGAAAGTCGTTTTCTAAAGATATCCGTAGTTAACAAGGCATAAAGAATAAAAAGGCGATGTATAAGTAAAAGAACATAATATGCATCGTATTTTTGCATGCATTTCTATTTCTTAGGAAGAGAATAAAAAAGAAAAGGTAAAATATCTCTAGGTGTGCCTTAATCAGTGTATATGATCGAAAATAATAGAACCTATATTCAATATGAATATATAAGCTTTATTAGAAAAATATGGATATGAAAACATGATTTTTCACTTTCTTCTTCTCAGTTCTATTGATTTGTCAGACTAATGATTTTCTTTTTCTATTATTTATCATTATATGAACTTCAGAAAGATATATTTAAAAATCAATTGAAGAAAATCTAAGTATAGAATTTTATAAGGTGAAGTTTACTTTACGTTTTGAGATATTACACGCTCGAGTCGATTGACTTTTAGAATGAAAAACTAATCATATACTAACCTCGAGAACTATTTTCAGAGCTTCGTGGAGTAATTTTGTTTAATCCTATATACTTTTCCTATTTTACTGTGTGTTGACAAAAAAATGGGCATGGTTTAGAATTTTGTCAATTCTATTCTATATAGATTATATTCTTCAAGCAAACTTTACGAAATATAGGTACATTTCTTAGTGTCGCTTCTGTCATAGTTGTGGTTGATTCACATAAGTAAATTTTATATGAGCCTACCTCTGCTACAGATCAATCGTAGAAATGATTGACGCTATAGATGGTATTAGCTCTCTAAGATACATTGATGTTTTTCAAATATTCTTTCGCTTATTCACATTCGTATATGTCTTTTATATATGCATATAAGTAGTTAAAACACCTATTCGAACGACTGCATTGTCTTCATATATTTTAAGTTACATGAAAAGCACAAAAGATAAATCTTTTTTCCTTGTCGCTAACAATCAGTTCTTATTCTCTACTTTGTTCTCTATAGGAACCAGTAACCTTAATCATTGCTCCAATGTTCGGAAGTCTTTCCTATCTTTCGTACATAGATAAATGTTTATTTTTTTGGAAAAAAAAGTATAGATCGATTCGAAAAAGTCAAATGACTAATATCTCACAAGAATTATAGGATTTAAAGAGATCTAAGATCTACTTGTTCAAATGATACTGTTGCTTTCATAACTAGTATGGACAATATCTATATAGAAACGCATAGATTATTTGCTGATAAGATAGAGACTTGCTCAGGATGTGCACTGATGACAGTCAAAATATCTTATTCTTTCTTCCAGTTGCACAAATTAAGAAATGAGACCTACAACCAAAAGGTGTCTGGATATTTTTTGATTCCTTGTATGGAGTATCCAATGATAAATAACTGAATGTTACATTTAGAAACTTATTAACAAAGATGTACGATTTCTTCTATTTAAAGTTGAAGGTGAAATATTGCAGATAAAATATGGAAAATTTATTGTGTTTTCTTTCCTAAGAAAATATTCGAAATTTTGAGGAATTCATGCATTCTGAATATGTAATGCTGATTTTAATACGAAACTAGTAAACACATAATTAAAACAAAAATCCAAAGTTGTAACGTTCACATACATTTTATGTCAAAGCATTAATATTGACTGTGATTATCATGTTGAACAGCTGTTCAATAACAGAAATATTCATAAATACAAATAAAATCTGAACGTAACATAATATAATCAATATAATGCTCGGTAAATTATAGCTGATATCGCTCATAATTTCTCTTTTGAAAATGTTTATAATCAGAGGTGAATTATGTGTTGTCTTTATAGATGAGATATAATTTCGAAATCACAATAAAAAATGGCATGCATTTGGTGGAAGAAAAGCACCGAAAGTAAAAAAAACACGTTAAAAGTAAATATATCGAAAGTACTATTAATACTTCTTCATATTCTTCACGAAATGTTGATAAAAGATGTGCTGAAGCAGCATTTGTATTTGGTACTTAAACATGAATAGTGCGTGCCCAAGTGATATTAGTATCATTTTCTATATATTTGTTTTCGATATTTTTTTCGTTATCACAAATTCAAACATGCCCAGTGAATCTTTATGCATTTTCTTTGCTTGATTAGAGATTATGAATAGATTTTTCTTCAAGTTGCCGACGGCTGATAAGGAGTATTTTTCACATTTGCTTAAGTAACAGTATTTGGAGCAATTAATTTTTCGTATATGAACAAGTAAATAATCACCCTGTTTTAGTTCCCACTACCTATACACAGTTCTGACTACTACTCTAGAGTGAAAAAGCTAACTGTCAAAGGCATTTCAATCGAACATTTATTTCACATCAATATGTAAAATATTCTNAATTGTTGCATTTATATATTTATCATGAACAATTATTATTCTTCATGTTTTATTTAAAATTTATACATAAAAAAAAACTCGTGAGATTTAGTTTAACATTGAATATATCAGTAATTTTTTCAATTAAGACTTTTGATATGGTTTGATGTTCAAGATATTGATTAATAAATCTTTGCGAATTTCAAAAACATTTTAATGTCTTATTGAGCATAGATTGAATGTGCAATACATCCATCTAAAGAAACAACGAAAACCCCTAGTCGATTGCATTTTGAATTCATTGATGTTAAGATAGTCTTAGCGGAATGAACTCGATATCTTAGACAAAACTAAACGAAATCAATTTATAATATCATTCCAATCAAAATCAAAACAATAACACGTATGTATTGAAGATAAATAAAACGATTTGCTCTTCAATAGAAGATCGGAGAAATGCATAGTTTTTTTTTTATGTATAAATTTTAAATAAAACATGAAGAATAATAATTGTTCATGATAAATATATAAATGCAACAATTATCGATAATTTTTTTAAATTACATAAAGTTCTCTTTGCGTGTAACACAATTTTTTCGAATCAAATAAATTTTCTACTAATTGTACGAATAATAGCATTAATGGCACGCTACTTATATTCAAGAGATTTTCGTAAGAATTCTTACAAAACAAGTTATTATAAATAGAACTGATTAGAATAGTTTCTTTCGACGAATCTAACTTTTGTTACTTCGTAAGAAATTCATGTATATTTTGGAAAATAATTTATTTCAAAGGATGAATGTTGTCATGAAAAACACTTTGTAATTCAGTCTTTTTCATAAAACAATATATTTCTTATTGTGTAAATGAATGCTCTATCCAAAGAATGAATTCGTTGTGTTTTTTAATGAAAATTTCGATTTCATTAGGGATAGTCTAAACGAATCACCATCGAGTAGTCATGTTACTTTGCACAAAAAAGAAAAGGAAATTCTTTTCTTTGATATTGTTATCCTAGTGATACGTTTAAATGAACGAAAAGGTTTTAGGAGGTCACTGCTTAATTTCAAAGTTGATGTTTGATAGTTTCGAGTTTTTTCATGAACAGTGACGAAAAGTCGAATGTTGATGATAATATCTCATATGTAGCTCAGACTTTTCCAGCAGAAGAGTGCGGGTGTGGGTGAATGTGGGTGCCGTTTTCAACCACACCCAGACCCTCTCCACTTCACACCCACACCCCTGATGGCTACAAATACTGAATTGGAAGGCAGTCAAGGAAATATGGATGCTAAAAATATACAGTATATTGCACAGAAGCTTAGTGTGGATGGGTCATTATACGATTTGGATTTTAGTAGAAACCAAATGAGTGATGTCCCAACAATTTATCTTTGTAATGAATTAATGCGTAAGAATAAGAATTTGATGAAATTGCACTTATGGAATAATCTAATTACCGACAGGAGCGTTGATAAAATATTGGAAATGATTCATTCAAACCCAACGCTGAGATTACTTGATATCCAAAATAATTGTTTTACAAGGAGTGGCAAAAAAAATTGTTAGCGCAAAGAGGAAGAGTTAATATTGTATTCTAACATGAACCTTTTCATACAGAACCTTACTACTCTGTCCATGTACTAATAACAAGCTAGAGACATTTAATTGAGTCTAAATCCACTTGCTCGTGATTAAAGTACACTAAAATGACACTTTTCACAAAATGCTGGCGAAAATAAAATAGGATGTGGGTGTGGGCGTGTGGGTATCTCGGTATGGATGATATGTTGTGTTTATCCACACCCACACCTACACCCAGCTACTTCATACATTACTGCCTCTATAGTAAAGTGGAACTCTTCAATTGCAACTTGAATTAGATTGCAACCCTGAAGAATTGAAATCTTGTTTTGAATTTTCTATAATATTCGTATATAGAAGTAATCCAGAATAGATAAGACATCTGATGACTCCTTTGTCAGGAATGAAATCTAGATTATGGCAGCTGCTTCACCTACGCTGACCCCTCATACACCCGTAATGCGCTTATCTTTCTTTAGACAATAATTAAGACGATGGCTCAATGCTTCCTTTTGATGAAAATTTACATCGACATCGTCAGAGAACAAGATGCTAAGCAGTGGCGGCGCGAAGGGGTCAGGCCAGGTGGGGGGGGGGGGGGGGGGGATTGGAAAATTGGGGGAAAAACTTAAAAAAAAAAATTTTTTTGTCAGCCTCAAGCGAGCGCCTGAAAAATTTTTGGTTGAACAAATTTTGCACAAATTTATAGGCTCTGATCCCAAAAACTTAAAACTGAAGAGCAAAAAAAAAGGTCTTCACTCTAATTTTCTAGAAAATTCCAAGTATCCTGGTGCTTCCAGACGGCTGCCGGTTGCGTAAATTCTCCAAAATCAGAGAGAAATGCTGAGTAAAATCCCAAAAATGGGAGAAATGTCAGCCACCAAACTTCTAAAATTGGGAGAAAGTCGAGCCAATTTGAGAGAAAGCTTCAGTCAAATTGGGAGAAATTTCAGCCAAATTTTCTTGATTGCAGGGGGGGTACCCTCCCCAAGCCCTCCCCCCCCCCCCGGTCGCGCCGCCGCTGATGCTAAGAACTGTATCTCAATTCATGAGTATTTATTTTTAGAAGAATAGTCAAGAAACTTATTAATCGAATGATACAAGAACAGTCTGATTTTGTTAAAGGACATAAACAAGTTTTTGTAAAATTCTAAATCCACTACTTCAATGCTACTGCATAAGGAGAGTTCAATTTGTGTGTCAATTTCACACAGCTAAGAGAATACCGACGTTGTTCGAATTCACGTTTGTGACAATAATATCGAGTTTTCTGTCTCCATTGACATCGACGGCTGCCACAGAGTACGGTAAACTACCAGTTGAATAGGTCACTTGAGTAGCAAACATGCCATTGCCAATGTTGAGGAAAACACTGACGCTGTCTGAACCCGAGTTTGCGACAATAAGATCGAGTTTGCTGTCTCTATTCACATCGGCTGCTATCACAGACTGCGGATAAGTACCAGTTGAATAGGTAACTTGAGTAGCAAACGTGCCATCGCCATTGTTGAGGAAAACACCGACATTGTTTGAAACGTAGTTTGCGACAATAATATCGAGTTTGGTGTCTCCATTGACATCGGCTGCTACCACAGACTGCGGAGAAGTGCCAGTTGAATAGGTAACTTGAGTAGCAAACGTGCCATTGCCATTGTTGAGGAAAACACCGACGTTTCTTGAATTCCCATTTACGACAATAATATCGAGTTTTCTATCTCCATTCACATCGGCTGCTGCCACAGAAATCGGATAATTGCCAGCTGAATAGGTCACTTGAGTAGCAAACGTGCCATCGCCATTGTTGAGGAAAACACCGACGTTGTTTGAAACCAAGTTTGCGACAATAATATCGAGTTTGCTGTCTCCATTAACATCGGCTGCTACCAAAGAGTACGGTGAACTGCCAGTTGAATAGGTCACTTGAGTAGCAAACGTGCCATTGCCATTGTTGAGGAGAACACTGACAGTGTCTGAAGCCTGGTTTGCGACAACAATATCGGGGTTGTTGTCTCCATTGACATCGGGTGCTCCCACAGAAATCGGGACAGAACCAGTTGAATATGTTATTTGAGTAGCAAACGTGCCATCGCCATTGTTGAGGAGAATACCGACGTTTCTTGAACCCGAGTTTGCGACAATAAGATCGAGTTTGCTGTCTCCATTCACATCGGCTGCTACCACAGAATGTGGACCAGTGCCGGTGGAATAGGTCACTTGAGCAGCAAATGTTCTATTCCATAACGCTATTACGAAACGAATATTGTTATTTGTACCAATATAATTATGGAAAGCAATTGCCTTATCTGAATATTGTTTAGTTTCCAAACTTTACCGCAACTATTACAGAGATTACGTAAGCAGACTAAATAATGCCTACAGCCTTAAAAGCTTTTCTTGTATCTCCCGCGAAGTTAAAATCTTTTTCTTATAGTTTGTACAGTTCCCAAGAGAAGACTACCATTCTACAGCGCTGACTAATTTGCTGACCTGTGTTTTCAATTAAGGCATTCTTATGGTCGTTAGATCTTTCTCTGGTTCCACGAGGCTGCTTTCAATCTTTCACCATTGGAACGGAACTGAATTTCATCCCAGATTCGAGCAGATTAGCAAATTATATGAGCCCCTAGTCGACCAAATTCACAAGATTTTCCTTGGACCCAATTAGTGGGATGATTGACGGTATGCTCTCGACAAATCATAATCAGAAAACTCTCTGAAAAGAGCTTTAGTTGGATGATAGGTACATATATATGAGAGATGATTGATGATGTACTTCACTCAGCAGTGGGTACTTCGAGAAAGCAGTACAAGAATGGCGCAATCAAATGACATTCGCTTCAAAACAACCGTTCTTCTTTTTATCTACAATCATTCACTCGTTCATTCATTATCTGAATAGTTTTCTACATAGGTTTTTTCTGAAGACTGCCTATTAAATGAATAGAATTGAAAGTATGGGAGCGGACTTCCTAGCAAAATCGGCCCTATTTCAAAATGCTAACATAACATCCACTAATTATATATGATTACGAAGATAATGAAGTCCACTAAATATGTGGGACTAAAGTTTTGCTAATAGCACTGCTTTTGGTTCTTCTTCTACCCTGATATAATGAGAATGCATATAAGCAGCTCATTCTAGACTTGTATAGCGTCGAAATCTATTGCTTGAAAATGTTTCGTCAACACTTTTTAGCATTGTTAGCTCATACAATACCTTTCAAAACTACCCGCACATGGTCTTTCTTGAACTCGACTAGTTGAATACATCCCCAGTTAATTTTTTGAGCGAAAGTAGGCCATTTAATATCCTCAAAAGCAACCCGAACGTGCCAATTTCGAAACCTTCCCAAATGGATTCATAAAATACTACACTTATCTGAATAGTTTGTTTCTAGAAGGATTGAGACGATGACTCAGTTCGAGCTCAACCATTGCAATTCATAAGACCTTGATTTTCCAGTATTAGTAGGCTATGGAATATCCTTTAAAAGTACCCGAACATGAGTTTTTCGAAAGCTTGCGAAAGCCATTCTAGTAGTGACAGTCTAATACAGACTGGTCATTTCCATAGGAATTCCTAAAGTGAGGAGTTTGGTTCTGGAGTATTGCAAAACATCCGGGATTCATGCTGTGAGCATAAGTGGATGAAAGAATTCTTTGGAGAACCACTAGAAGATAGCCTTTCCATAAGGTACTGAAATGCATTCTGGTAATACTACTTTGATTCCGACAGATACTTTTTGTGAGCATGCGGAAGTTGGCAAAGTTCAATTTTCACTCTTATGACAGACTCTATTGCGAGGAATTGAAAAGCATCAGACATAATTGTACATTGCAAAATAGTGTCAAACATGGCTTTTGAATGACTGTTCAGTAAGCTACATTATGACAGCTCACAGATAACTATATAATGGAATCTATATTTTATGGATATCAATTGTCTTAGTGTATTCAAATACTTGGTTTTCCGTGTGGTAAGGATTTCAACGAGTGGATTTCAGCTTTGGTAGTTGGGGCTTGAGTATACATGGGAGCAGTCAGTCAGTATGGCGCCCTGTTTTGATACAGTGCTGTTGTAAAATTTCAAGATACTATTGCCCAGGTCGTATAAGAGAGGACCCTAGATAACCTATGACTAACCGGAACAGCATCATGTTTTATCAGTACAGTAGTCAAGAATAGCTACTGACTCACACAAGAAGTCAGTAGCTTATCTCAACTTTTGTAACGATACAACATAATGCAGTTCGGGCCAATCCAGGGTTATCTAGGACCCTTTCTTATATGGCCTGGGCAATACTATATTATCTTCTTACAATCGGACTATATCGAAACGGTGCACCATGCTAGCTGGTTACTCCCATATGTGAGTAAGTTCTAAAGTTCCTCATATAAATGATCTATATTAGTGAGGCAATTTATAAAATCTTGAGCTCCCACATTCCAATAGGAACGACAATCAATAATCCTATTCACTATAGAATTCTAAAACACGTTACAGAAGCGGTATAATGAAGAGATACTAGAATAATTCAATCAAGGGTTCTAGCCTTTCCACATCACACCAAGGTGATGTCTTGCTTACCTTAACACTAAACAGTGGAGCTGAACATGTTTTGGATATTTTTAAAAAAGAAACGAAAAAAAGTTGCCGTAGATTCAATGAATTGTGATAGCCGAAATCAAAGTCACTAATCGACAGAATACTTATAGAGATGAACGATTCCAATCAATGTGGTATTACCAAAAGCAGTTGGTTAGCTTTCAGAAAGATAAACATCTGGTAGTCCTTAAACACATTCTAAGATTTACTTCTGCTAGTATAATAAATATGGGCTGTATTGCGATAGTTGAGATGGAATTCAATCCTCTTCTCAATTCATCTGGAAACAATCTATTCAAATGAGTGTAGCTTTTATGAATCTATTTGGGAAGCTTTTGAAATGACCATGTTTGGATAGTGTTTGAGGATATTAAATGGCCTACTTATGCTAAAAAAAAAGAGTGGGATGTATTGTAATAGTTGAGACAAGTGAATCATCTCCTCAACCCTTATGGATATGATCTATCGGGATATGTGGTATTACCAAAATGAATTTTGGACGCTTTAAGAAAGATCATATTCGATTAGTTTTGAAGGATATTTCATGGGCTACCAATACTAAAAAAATGGTGATGAAATATTTTAAAATAATAGACTTCGACGCTAAACAAGTCTGGGATGATCTGCTTATATGCCTTCTCATTACATATGTAGGATAGAAGGAGAACCAAAATCAGTGTTATGAGCAAAATTATAGGCCACATATTTACTGAACTTTATTACCTTTATAGCCATATATCATTAGTGGGTGTTATGTTAGCATTTTGCAATAAGGCCAATTTTGCTAGGAAATCCATCCCGATTCTTTTAAGGGCATACAGTATGTTTCGCGAAGAACAAAACAAAACATTTACGAAAATATAAAGCTATTTTGTTGTCTAATACACCTTCTTTAATGAAATGAGAAACTCTAATAATATATATTTCAAATAATTTTTGCATTCTAATAATAAATTCCAAACTAAAAATCTATTTTTCCAACGAATGTCTGGCAGTTTTTTAGTTGTGAAAATCGTATTTGACAGTTAATGTGTGAATTTAATTATCCATTTAATCCATATGCCTATCCACATCCTCCCTTTATCCTTCGCCTATGTATACCGTGATCCATGAATTTATTGGCATGAGCTATTATAACAACCATAAGTGTATATCTAAGTCTATGGGGGGCCCCACAATTGATTGGCATCTCGGTAGTTCGAAACACAACAAAGAAACTTCACTACATTACTATACTGATCAGATACAAATATGACGCATCAACAGGCTTATTTGCTTGCTGTAGCTCAAATAAATGAAGGATGCCTTATGCAGGCTTATGAGCTAGTCTCATCCAGCCTAACCATTTAGACTGACACAAGTATCGGTAGATATCAGTGTGGATGAGAATGTTGATGTTTTATTAATCCTCATCCACAAGTCTACACTTAAGCACACTCATCCAAAACTCACAGATGGTCTTGAGTTCATGCATTCCCTATACAACAAGTCTGGATTCATTCAACTGCGTTCTTTCCAAAACAATAATAAATATTGTGGAGTACAAATCAATGCGCCGCTCGAATGATTGAAAATAGAGTTGTCAAGATTCCTGTCTGTGAGGGTTACGCTTCTAAACAATGGGTATCCATATTTCAAACCGTTTCTGAACGTTTTCAAACACATACACGTTATGGTGTTCAGCTATGCTTATTCTTATTTATTGTAGCAAAATCCTGCGAGTTCAGAAGAACGGAAACTGACAGAGAAATTCGGGCTCCTAGGAAAGGAACTTGAAACTGGAATTTCTGTCCATTGTTCGCATTTCAGTCGGCTACTTCTTCGCAATTAGAAGTTCCAACTCAGAGATGGCAATATTGGTTCTACACCTCTAACTATTAGTCAGAGGTCACGATGTTCGATTCTTTCCGCCGGCACATTGGTCCTTGTGTTCAAGATGTACGATAACATAAGTTCAAACAAAAACATGCGTATGGATTACTTCATCATTGAGTTCTGCACAGAGTACTACACTATAGAGACCAACTACGCAAATCAAGAACACTGCAGTTATATTAAAATTTCATCAAAGAGATATCGGCAATCATCTAGTCCATCAAAATTTGTTTTCTGTTTTCTGTTCTTTATATGTTGTCGTCAACTCGTCTCCTGATTCGTGGCCATCGACTCATTCTTTCTTAATTATTTCCAATTCGTTCTCTGCCTAAAGTTGTATTTTAAGAGTCATTGCACATAAGACACTACCATTCCTGCTCAATCGATGTCATCGATTTGGCTAATATTTTTACAGTAGATAGGGCTAGCATAGTTACAAGTAATTTAAGAAGTGCAGCTATAACGGATAAGCCATTCTGTAGATATCGACCATACAAGTATAAGGAGGCAGCCTACATTTCGAGTACCTTCAAGTGCAATACTTGTCAGCAAAGAATAAGAGCGAGTAAGGCTATTTTACAGCCCTTCTCAGAATCCATTTCCTTTTATCAGATTCGAATAAGTAGATCCTGATCATATTTTTTATATTTATTTCCTGAAAATCGGCCTTGCGATTTTTTGCGCCAGAGTTTCGCAACAGGTATCGTGAAAAAAAACTATATTTTTCAAAGATTTAAAACTAATACAGGCTTAGATTTAGCAGTGTTAATTACGAATATCATAACGAGAGCTTACAAAACTCTTTTGTTTTTTGAAATAGTATAGACCAATTTATGAGACTTATTATTCCTTGTTGGATTGCCCATAGAATTAGCTCTTGAGAAAACGTTTTAAATCAAAAAACTTATCTAACTGAGAACTTTGAGCTCTTCACGAATTTAAACTTTTTCTGGAGCAAAAATGTGGCCTATAGAAAAATTTGCCACATTGCAAAATGTTGCCCACTAGAGTAATTTTTCAAGCTCTATCTAATATTGGTCTGAAAAAATGAAATAGTTGTGCAATAAAGTCAAAAACTTCAAAAATGGTTAATTTTTGCCCACTTTTTAGGGTTTTTGCCTATAGGTTAATGGGTTTCAATATGAAGTATGGCTTGCAGTAACGTCAAACGCTTCCCATAAGGGCAAATTTTTGAGCTCTATCTAATGATATTCGCAAAAATAAAGAAAAAGTTGTGCAATTGGATCGAAAATCCGAAAAATCGCTATAACAGCAAAATATCATGAATATGCGTTCATGTTCTTAGAGTTTCACCAGTAAAACTTCGATTTCAAATGAAATCATTGTCGTATTTACAATCAGTGCAAAATCTACTTTGAATAGAATATTTTATAGTTAAAAAAACACATTTCATCGATTTTAACCTGAGAGAGATTGCAAGCTCCCTTATGAAAAGAAACAAAGAGGCGAGAGAGGCACCGAGATTCGATGAATTTTTTAAAAATATTATATATCCTATTCGATGTAGAATTTTGGACTGATTGCGAATTTGACATTTATCTCATTTGAGACTGAAGTTTTTATGATGAAAACGTCAGAATATGAACGCATATTCATGATATTTTGCTGGTATAGTGATTTTTTGAGTTTTTTATCCTGTCATGCAATTTTTTGAATTTTTTTTTGAGAGCATCATTATGTAGAGCTTCAAGAGCTGCTCTTATGGGAAGAATTTGACGTTACGACAGATCTTGCATTTTAGTGATACCAGTGGTAGCGAATTTCAAATTTGTGCAAATTTTGAAATCTGCGTGTCAAAATTATTTAAAATTTCTATTCCTCAGAAATTTTGAAAATTGACCGACGATCTCGTATATATTCAGCAGACATCAGAAATCGGGAATTTAATCAGACTGTATGTTCCTAAGATATTACCGGAAATGCAGAAATCATGAAGGCACAATCAATCCTTTAGTTGGAGCAGCAGACCGAAGTTGAAGTCATAAACTTTTAGGAAAGCAACAGGCTGAAGAGGAGGTGGCAACCTTTGAAGAAAGAAGAAGGTGCGTACTACTCTTTTCGTAGCATGTGTATATCTCTATGTCGCTATACTTTTAAATCCTTTAGCTCTATACTTTAGGGGCATTATTTAAATCGTTCTGCATGTTCGATTTTTTCACAAACTCAAATTTTCTGTCGACTCGCACTGAGTAGTTCTTATTTTTGATTTTCTAACCATTTTCATAAATTTCTTCCTCAAAAATCAGAAATTTAGTCAAAGCTGGTAATAATTTGAATTCTGTCACGTCCTCACTGAAACCTATTCATATGTAGGCAAAACCCCTCACAAATGAGAAAAATGGATTATTTTTGGAGTTTTCGACTTTGTTACACAATTTTTCGTTTTTTAACAGCAATATGAGATAGAGCTTGAAAAATTACTGTGGTGGAGAAAATTTTGCGATGCGGTAAGCCTTTCTTTATGAGAAATTCTATATGTGAAAACATTTATATTCGGCAAAGGGTAAATTTTAGCCCCGGCATCAATATCTTTTTTCTATAGATCACATTTTCGCTCCGTAAAAAGTTCAAATTCGTGAAGAGCTCAACATTCTGAGTTAGATAAGATATTTTTTTGATCAATTTTCACAAGTACTAATTCTATGGACAACCCAACAAGGAATAATAGGTCTCGTAGTGTGACCCGTCCTATTTCAAATACTAGTGCAAACAGTGGGAGATTGAAGAAAATGCTGGCTTTTTTTTACATAGTCGATCTGAGTAGGCATGCACCAGTTCCAGTCGTAAAACTGGTAATAGTCACCACTGTAAGTCAGTCGCGACTAGCTTACAGTTATAATTATTACCAAATCGACTTGTTTACCAGTCCTATTAGTGCCAATCGAACAAAGGTCAAAGTCCAATAGGAACATACTCCATTTTTACGAAGGCATGCCTAGTCTTTGAGACACTAATTTCAAGATTTAGAAGGAAAACCGTGTGGTTTATTCTTACCAATTGTTGTAGAAGCTGTTGTATAAGTCTTTGTTGTGGTTCTTATTGTAGTAGAAGTTGTTGTATAAGTCTTTGTTGTGGTTCTTATTGTAGTAGAAGTTTTTGTAGAAGTTTTTGTTGTCGTTCGTATTGTAGTAGAACTCGCTATAATCAAACGGAATAGATCACGCAGATCTTCTCAAGACAAAGTCTAAACTTCTTACTTCTAGAAGTTGTTGCTGTACTAGTAGAACGAGTTGAGGGAGGACATATTTGAATATTAGCCAATGGCATTGGATAGCAAACAGGTTGTTGACATCGTGTACTGTTAACACAAATTGTTTGTGCGATCGAACATGTAACATTGTCTGAATTACATCGAACCATTGAAGTGCAGGAAAGACCAGCAACACCACAGATGCCTGAGGTAGTTGTATTAACAGTTTTGGTCAATGAAAAGCATTCACAATCGAGATTCGAAGAACACGGCAAAGATGGCGATTTACAAAGAGTTGAATTGCATGTCGCCAAGGCTAAACTGGGTGATGATGTCGTTAATTGAGCTATGACACGATACGAATCAAAAGGTAGAGACATTTATTCTAAAAGCAACGTACTACCTTACCTGTAGTTTGAAGTGAACCGTGGTATAGACTTCGAAAAAAAATTAAAGAAATTTTTTAGTTAAATTTTATTGAAACGCACTGATTACTCACCTTGCCGTCAATAAAATATATATTAAAAACATTAGAAGTAATTGAATTTCTTATTATTTTTCGTTCAATGTTCTGTTATATAGACTGAAGTCTCTTGCACAATTAGCCTGTAATAAAAATTGTCTTCAAATCTTATTTTTATGTATTGATCAAAAAACACAAAACACTGAGGTTTTGTTTCTTTTGTTCCCAACAGCATAAAAATCAACAACAACAACAAAAAAACACAGGTTCCATTTAGTATGGATATTTTACTCAAGGAAGAGAGCACTTCTTAAAAATCACACACAAACAATAAATACCATTTTCGAAAGTATGTGAATTTTATCAGTGAATTATTGTAGTTTCCCTTGAAAGTCTTTCTGACAACCTTGAGCTAATGTTTCAACATGAAACAACGTCATTTGAATCCATGTAGAGCAGCACTTAGAATAAGAATCTTATAATAGCTGCTTGTAAATGGATTTATCCTGGAAGTATTATCTTAGTTTTTTTTACTCAAAGGAGTCAATAACATATCTTATCCTAGGCTAGATAGAAGAAGAGAAACATTTACATTTTATGAAAGTTCTCTTATGTAGTTTCTACGAAGTGTAAAAAGAAGAATGAAAATTGTAAAATTAGCAGAATTTGTGTGATATCATAATAGTGACATTTATCTATTTTGCTGATAATTTGCAGTATTCCAAAGACTTCGAAAATTTTCCACTTTTGAAAACGTGACGGTCTATTTCGCAGTTCTTCCAGGAAGAACTAAACGATATTTATTATATCATATATGAGTGAAGAGTATGGCTACGATACCGTTATATCCCGCGAAAACAAATGGCTATAAGTTGAGTGCTACTGAACCATTTAACACTTGCTTTTTTTTACTAATTTAGAGACGCCCATTCACTTCTGAAAAAAGTTCGATTATTCATTTGTTTTACTTCGCGAGAAATCATAGCAACAGTGCCAAATATCTACCTTTTAAGACCGCCTGGTGAAGAAAGATCAACTTTTCTTTATGCCATTGAACCTGTGTTTAACAAATTTTTTGTTAGATTGGCAGGGCTTACCGGGAGTTTTCGGAATATATTAAATTCTTTTTTGCTTTAGACAAGGATTTATGAATGAAATGCTATTGACAGTGTTCATTAGGTTAGTTCTAATTTTTGTGTAGAGCGATATTGAAACCATTGATATTTTGTTCAAAGAAATTTCATTTGAGCAAATTTAATCGTATATCAAATTCGAATAGAAGAAAACCATTTTGACAAAAGAAGTTTGTTTTATAAACATAGATGATACAAAAATTTTATACAAAGTTAAAGAAAAACCATATTCAGACTGAGAGTAAAGCAACTTTTTCAATTTTGCAATTGTTGTTACTCCATGGAAACTAAATCACTTGCAAAAAAACTTGACCCTTTTCTCATGTCATATAACAAAGTAATATCCCAAAAAGTCAAATGAAAATCTTTCTCTATGCAAGAGCAAGTTCGGTTTTATTAAAAAAGTCTAAGGCGATATTAGAAATTTATTAAAACCATGAGCACTTGGTTTGAAAACATTTCATTTGAACAGATTTACTTAGATATCCAAGAGAAACAGATAAAAATAATCTCAAAAGTGAAAGCGATTTCTTTGATGAATTTTTACACTAAGTTTTAAATTTATTTCTATAAAACACGAACACTGGTAAATGTGACTATGAACATGATGGGAAATTGCAATCACTAGCGAACTATTGAACATTACTGACTGGAGAAGGAAAGGAAAAGTATTCAGTCCTCAGCATCATACACTTGCCGTGTTTAGCAAGACGGAATTTTGCCTAGTTCTGTCGAACTGTGTATGAATAACAAATATTTTCTTCAAAAGTATTTTATTTAAGTAAAGCCATTTTCGCTGTGTTCCTTTAGCTTTTCGTGGATATCTATCAGACCACAGGAAAGCATCGGGAAAATATTGCTTTCCTACGCATTGGATACCGTTCTATCGAATATAACACTTAGTTTTTTTACCATAAAATTTATTGTTTTTTTTTATTTTTTTTTCGAACCATCCTATAGTGGTGCTCTTCACTCATATATATAAGGTAGTAGTCGCCGTAAACGGATAGTGCGACTATTCTATGAAGTAACGGGTCGTAGAAGGACGCAATCTTCTAACATCGCGTAGATTTGGATATATTTTTAGTTGGATATCTGAAGACTACTTCTGCAATCACTAACCGTTTAAATGAATTAATCTTTATATATAAGATACCGCTCATCTGTATTAGAGGTATCAATAGCGATTGTACGATAAAAACGATAAATCCTGCTTAATCAACATCACGGATTTCTATGAAACTTTTCCGGTATGTGCTTCGAGTAAGATATAAAAATGCTTAAAATCTCAGCTTACAAAACCATTCCGTTGTTGGCATATTCAAACTACAACAGAGACTCTATCTAGCATTATTATTCAGATGCAGGTTCTCAATGACTTTCCGACCAGTTCTTAGGCCAAAGTGACGAGTTCCAGCCTGGAAGTTACGGAATTTATCGCAAGGTGAAACCAGAAGAAACGAATATCCGTATTCAGCAAGTGATTATGTCCAATACTAACAGCTTATGAAATAAATCGCTATCTAATCCCAGTATTGTATTCTTGTTTCTATGATTCGACACTTTTCATATTTTTTCAGCTGAAATCATCCACACATCACTCGACTGTGTATAAATTACATTTCTCTGAATTGTAAAATATCGCTTTTCATTAATAAATGTCAGCGTTTTTGTTTAGAAGACATCTTATTAGAGTGCATCCGTGAGATATCGCCAGTCTATGCGACGATCACGTCCAAATCCAGTGATACTCTCAAGGTTTACAGAATTCATTATTCTGATCATTTTGTTTATAAATTTTTTTAAGGACCCAGCCTATTTTCACAAAGATTTGTGTTAAATACTAACAGTGCATTCTGTGTAAAACTAGGGATGTAACAGCACCAATACCGTGTGTTATTGGCAGTTTGTTAAGAAAAATCCAAAATTTTCGAAAAATTAACTATAGATTCTTGATCATTTCGTCAAGCTACGAAGATCGCTATCAAGATTTCAATTCTCTATTGATATTGTTATATCCATATATAAAATAAATTATTTTGCAACAATCAGAAAGCCTGTATCTTTATTAAAACATAGTTAATTGTCCATTATAATCCACTTAAATTAGAATATCAATAATATATTCAGAATCCTCGTAAAAAGCGGCATGAGAATTCTTGCAACTCTTGAAAATTTCCGAACAGATTATACCACCATCCAAACCTATTCCCATTTTCTAATTGAGTTTTATAATACACTTTCCTTCCCTCTTATAGTATAAGAAGTAGAAATAAACTCTATGAAAGCATGAAAACTTTTCAGATTTCTACGAATTCTCCCATAGTTTTTCATAGAGATTCTGATTATGTGATTGGTTTACTAATTTTGGTAAATTACAATGAACAAACACCTAGTTCTTGAGAAAGATACAATTTTTTTTCGTTTTTTCGTAAAATAATGCATTACATACAAAAATGCACTGTTGTTATTTGACTTACATCTTTTGGTGAGAATACAATCTAAAAAGAACTAGTTGAATATCAAACTCCTTTTAAGTTCCGAAGCAGTTTCGAAACATGTTATGGATTTCACTGGATTTAGATATGGTCACCGCATCGGTTGGCAATATCTCACAGATATACCCATTAAATACCTGAAAGATAGAACTTGCGCAACAAATGGCCACAATGAGGAGGAGTTCAGGCAAGAGTCTCCAACACTCCATCTTTCGCCATTGTTGCAAAAGGATGCATATCTCCAAAAACCTTTGTATGAATTATGCCACCAATAGTGAGAAATTTGTGAACTTTTGTTTCAAGAAAGAAACTTGAAATATTTATATCTAGGGTGGCTCAAAAGTCACACAACCGAAACAAAAACATTGAATATCTCCCTTATGGCTCGAGCAAAGAAAGTGCTCTTTTTATCAATGATAAAGGCGTCTTCACGCTTTATATCCGTATGAACAAGATTAAGAAGACTCGTTATTACGTATCACTGTTGTCTTCAACAAGAAAAGTTTACTTTTTCATAAATAGGAAAAGAAAATAACGTACTTACCAAAACTTCTCACTAATCTTGTCTGTATGGTTTTGGAGTGTAAACACATCTCTATTCTTAGTAAAAGAATCAGTTCATTTGCTGGAGCCGTAATAGAGATATTAAATTTTCTTTTCGATAAAGTAACTATTGCACCATCCTGTAAATTGTTTTTTTCTATTTATGAAAAAGTAAAATTTTCTCGTTGAAATCAACCGCGATATTTAACAACGATTTTTCCTAACCTTGTTCATATGGATATAAAGCTTGAAGACGTCCCTATCATTGATAAAAATATCAGCTCTTTTGATCGAAGTCTTAATAGAAATATTCAATGTTCTCTGTTGGTGCGAAACTTTTGGACCAACCTGTCTTTTTTAAAATATACTAATCTTACTAAGGCTTGTATATAAACACAGTATTATAGTAAAAAAAGTCAATACATCTGACACATTCTCTTGTTTTTATCGAATGCGAAAGTGGTCTTTTAAAATGATAAAAATCAGTTTTGCATAGTACTTTGCTCGCTCCCTGTCGATTTTCCAATAAACACACAACTATTCTCGTTGGAATAGTACTACTTGATCAGTTCTCAGTATTTTTCTTTGAATGAAACCCATTTCCTATACTTTTCCTTTAAGTTTTCGATACCAAATGAAATTTCTACTTAGCACAAAATATTACATACCTCACTTGTATATTTGTTTGTGCGCAGTGTTAGCTACCCAGTATATTTATACTGTTAATGAGTGTGTGTATCTTT